TATGGAACCTCACAGACTATGGTAGAATTTCTCCATAAGTCATAAAAGTGTGATTCTAGTGACACCTAGTGATCTAACTGCCTTAAAGTTCATATTTTTAGAATTGCAATCTAATGCTTAGAGTCAGTTTAGTTTTGAGTAAAATATCTGTCAGCTAACCAAATTCAGAGTTATTAAAGAAAAACAAGTAGAATTTCCCAACTGCATTATTTGACTTATAAGCATCAAGTCCTCTTGAACTTAATTTGGACACAAAGACTTCAGTAATTTTTTATATAGCATTTTTTAAAAAGCTTACTGAAATGTTTTTAATGCTAGTTCAACTCAAATGCATTGGATTCAGATAATATCAATTTAAATTTGCAATTCATTTGAATGAATCTTACAGCAAGATTATGATTCTTGTGCACTACCTCTACTTTCTGCAGATACGAATCTTACAGACTTGCAATTTTTATAGAGTTTTCTTTCCTTCTCAATAGAATTATTTTTGTTAAGCTGTAAAATTGCATGCATTTTAGCCACAAAAAGCCAGATTTGCCCTTAATTGTAAGCTTCTAATATAGAAGCTTACAGGTTTCAGGAACATCATCAAAGAGAGAGAGCATTCCAACTCTAGTTACTAGAGTCTAACACAACAGCATTCAATACCGAACGATGTACAGAAATTCAGAATTTTTCATTCTGGTAATTTGCATTGCTTTTTATGGACAAAAGCATTATAGTATTGCTCAAACTGCAGGGCACATTCCTCTTAGCAAGCTATGCTCAGAGGAGTAGCGTGCACAAAACATTTTCGAAGTAGGGGCACTTTGCTGTTAAGTGGGAGAGTATTTGCCAGAAATATGAAAGGTCAGGAGACGCTGGAGTAATTACTTATTACCTGCCTCCTTGTCTAACAGAGATCAACAAACAAACAGGTCAGATTAATTAGTCCATTATCCTATCCACAATATAAAAATGTCCTAGTGTATGTATGAACAGGCAGACAGTTCAAATATTCCCAGGTTACTCTTCCATATTTCAGATTTCTGGTTTATGGATGCTCTGAGGCAACGGTATCTTTGATAATATTAACCAGATTTCTCTTCCTTTCTTATTTCTCTCCGTGTTTTTTAAACCCATGTACATCTTTGGCATGCAATGACTCTGCAACAAGGAGATCTAAAGCTTAATTACTTATTACACTAAAAACATCAACTACGGTTTTCTCTAAACCTGCCTTCTGTCTAACTCCGTTAATGCTCTCCACCGCTCGTACTGGTAAGGACAACATACGTTCTTTCCTTATTCAATAACTCCGTAACATCCTCTGTGCTCACAGAAGTCCAGCCATACTCCCTCCTCTAGACTGAAGACTTTTTGTCTCCTCAACCCTGTCTTGTCAAAAAATGATTTTACACTTCCAGTTCTTGTTGGCATTTTTGGAAGGGAGACAGAACTGTTCAGTAGGTAAGCACTAGAATACAATCATCTCATTAAGCAATTCAAAATTTTTGCTCTTCTTTTGATTTTTACTATTTTTTTTCTGTTTACTGTTGCAGAGATAACGTTAGGAAAATTTACTGTAACATGCGAAAACCTTCTTCCCTGTCAATAATCAATTTAGACCCATCACGTAACATAATGTGCAAACCAACTTTCTCCTGATATCTACATCACTTTACATCTATCTACACGTACTGGCTTATTTAATTTTTGTAAAGCCCTATCGCAGTTCTTCACAATATGGATTTTTTATTTTTTTTATAAAGACAAGAATGCATCATCAGCAAATGTTTCCAGCTCAATATTCATCCTGTCTGTGTAATTTAATATGTTGGACCACACAAGTCTCAGCACACATCCCTGCAAGACTCCACGGATGAGTTTCCTCTGCTAGCAAAATCAATGATTTAYTCCTGCATCTTAACTATTTTAAAGCGTTATTTACCCATTTGTGGACATTCTTTCACCACATGACTGTTTAAAGAGTCCTTCAGAGGCCTGCTGACTGCCTTTTGTTTGTCCAAACAGAGGAGACCTGATTTTCTTTGTCCCATTCCTCAGAGATTCCTTCAAAGATATCTACCATAGCCAGAGGCCACAGCTTCCCTCAACAGAAGTGGCACTGACTTTTCCTTCAGTTGTATTTATATATTCTTTTATTTTACTGGATTTATTTTGTCATGCCAATTTCCTTTCCATATTTCTAAAAACTGTTTTAATAGAGCAACTGCAATAGACTTGAACTTTAAACAGTCTTGATGATACCAGCAAGTTTTTCATTCCCTTCCTTGTCTCAGTTTCTTTTTAACAAGCTTCTAAAGTCTTATGTAGACTGCTTTTTACAGCTAAGTACTGTACAGAAATCCTGTCCTCCTTATGACAGTCCATCTAGGAGGCTCCTTTATGGTCTCTCTCATTCTTCAGTTGCAGATGCTGCTCATCTGTTATTCTTTTGTTTGTTTTTTAATTATATCACATCCAAGCCTTAGAATACTGTTCCTCTGACTAACGTTCCAGGTTTCACAATTAGCTAACCAAAATGCATACTACATTTTAGAATTACAAACTCACTGCTGAATTGACCATTAATTTTATACGCACTAAGATAGCTCCAGGTCAGAGATGGAAATATTCATACACGCAACATTTAGAGCAGCTGATTTGTTCGAGTACTTGAACAGAACACATGCAGAGTTTTAAAGATTAAATGTTATTGCAGTTTATCTGAAATCCAAATGAAGACTCACAACCACTTAGTAAACTCAGAGGAAAAAAAAAATACAGACAAGAAGGTTCTCACTGGCTTGCAGTGAAGCTAAAATTTGATGGTTTTTTTTTTTTTTTTTTTTTTTTTTAAATTAGCTTTTCCCATATGGCAGTTGAGAGTTTTTAAGCAGTGCCATTCTGAGCCTGTCACATTTTGTAAGTGTCAGACTACATATGGACCTCCTTCTTAATTTCTAGGAAATACTGTTTATGGGAATTAAGTGCAGATACAGTATAATTACCTCCTTCATTTTGTTTCTGATGGGATTCTGGGGAGGTGCTATGGATAGATGATGAAATGTGCTTTTTCATAGGGAAATGGAGAAATTCTATTCAACATAAATATCTTCCCTTCACTGTCTTGCCTACGAATGCCAGCTGAGAGCAAAGGAGTGGAACACTTGATAGTTAAAAACTGTGCAACTACTTCAATAGCACATACATTTTCCAAGAGAGAACATTCTACCTTTTGGGGAGAAATAATACACTTTCCCATAGGTATAATGCCATCATAGCAATATAATAATTTGCCTAGAGATTTATCACTACTTCAATTGCAGGAAAAAAAAGCAAGTAGGTACTGTATTTGAAGTTCTTAAATAAAACAGTACTAGAACACATTCTGTCTGAAATGAGTTACATTCATTATATTCACTTCTATACTCACTTCTCCACCCAGAGTACCGAAACTATTTTTACACCAGTCTTCTGTGCTTTTCTCCATGTAGCCAAACGACCTTCTTTGAAGACTACATGGGTCACGTGCTTGTTGAAAGTTTTTGAAACCTGCAGAAGCAAACAGAGAATTCATCTTTCAGTATGCTAAGAAGGATTAGAGTAGTCCATTTTTCTTCTGCATAAGACATTAAAATAAAACCTTTCCCTAAACATATTTTAAAGGGCTTGTTTCAATCTTTCCCATCTGAGCAACAAAATCTGAAGTAAATAAAAACAAGTCACATTAGTCAAAACAATGAAAAATGCTTACACCTTGAAGCAAATATTCCTGATAGGTGAACTAGAAGTTTCTTGCTTCTTTTCTCTACATTACCTTCTTTATCTCCCTATTGTAGCTATATCACTAGTTTTTCATTATTTTCAAGTACCCCAACATGACTTTATGCAACAGCCAGTATAAGAATCAGTTGTCATTAACCAAAGAAAAACACATTAGATTTATTTAGAAAAGAAATCACTGGTCTAAAGAGAAAAGTTAACCTCATCTTTTCAGCCATCTTTCATCAAGAAAAATCACTTTTATTTTTGAGGGAATCATCATGGAAGGGTGAGAAATGATTAAAAAAACCAAACAGTTATATAGAAACATTTAAAACTTATCAAATGAGAGAGATAAAAAAAAAAACATGCCAGAACAGCTCCTTTCATAGCTCATGCATTTTCATCACATTGCACAACTGTTCTAAAGTCTTCAGGCATCATTCTCCACTGACAACTTAATGAAAGCCTTTTTAATTCTAGATGAAAAAATATTAAGAGTGTATTGCGGGCTGTAACAAGCTCCACTAAGAGCTGGTAGTTGTAACATCTTTTGCAGTTACAAATCAAGCATACGTGTTATGAGGGGGGAGGGAAGCACTCAAATGTATACAGACTCTTAGATGTGTTTTTACTGGCAATTTCTTTAATCCACATTTGCAAGAGAAGAACAAAATGTCACGGTAGATAGCATACAAGAAATACTTACACACGTGTGTACACACACACACATATATGTATATATACAGGTATGCTTTAAATGCACTTTTATCTGCTGTCAATCCTGCAACTATGTTCCTTCCTGCACTACCTACTACAAATAACTATACAGAAGAAGTAGAATGAATAAGCTACTATTTGTTACGAAGAGCCTTCCCATTCCATTGGCTTCCAATCAGTTTCCTTACTTTTGCTCCCATATCAAGAAGTTGCTGTTCAAAGGTTTTCGAGTAGTTTTCTGTTCTGTTAGATGACCAAACATCTACAAATGCCGAAATACCTAGAGAAAAGTTAAACAGCCATTTAAGTATACTGAGATCAAACTGGTTCAGTAGTCTTCCCAACAGAATTCTATACATTTTATACATGTTGCATTCCCAAGCACTTATATTATTTAATAAACTGTATATTATACCTTAGGAGCAGAAAGGAAATTCCCTTTTAAGAGTATTTAAATTAACTGTAATAGAACAAAACTATCATGTTTGATATTTGTTAAATAATTTAAAACACATTATCTGTTAATCAAGCAGCATAGTATCTTGGCATGTCTGCTTATCCTTGGTATTATGTAAACACTGCTAACCTTTCAATCAACCAGAAATTTTAACACAGTTTACTCCAGAACATAATAGGGAAGAAAAAAAAAAAAAAGGAAAGGAATTATTAAAGACCCCCAATTGTCTTGAAATGTCACTAGTTCCTTACTAATATTGAATAAACTCAAGCAAGTGCAAACTGCAAGAGAAATATTTCAAGTCCTCTGTTTTACAGGTCTATTTTCAACATTTACAGAACTTCCTTTAAAACACAGATTCAAGAATCTCTTCAAGGAATTAATCAGTTTGACAGAAGTTTTCCTTTTTTTCCCTCCCCTACAAAAACAATGCAGATGTATTGACAGGGAGGGATAAGCATATTGAGCCCCTGGCAAGTCCTTCATTAGTTTTTGGGATAGGCATTAAACTCAGAAATATATAGTTGTCCTGGTCACACCAATTTCTTCTTTTAAGACTCACCAGGAAAATTCTAGAAAACAGGAAGGCCATTAGGGCACCAAGAATAACTCTAAAAAAACTGCTGGGCAATTAACTCTTAGAACTAATGAATAATGCAAACAAACAAGCAAGCCAGTTCAGCTGTCATCCTTGGCAAACATTGTTTATGTATCCTGGTTAATAACTAAAGTCCATATGTAATATCATTTGTCTTCCCTCTAATACAAAATAGACCTCATATGCACATGAGGACTAGAATACAGCTACTACCCCTCCTCACTTCTTAATTGTGTTCCCTTTACTACTGGGCCASGGCGGCCTTGCTTTCCTTGGCTGCTCTGCTGTGAAAAATACTGCACCCGTATYGGGAGAAAAAGAAAAACAAATAAAAACGAAACACAGTAACTTCCTCTCATCAAGTACTTTTATAACCTTTACCATTACAGGTCTACTACAGGTTGGAAAACAAGTATTAGGGAAGTTCTGACATTTTGACAGGGAACTTGGAGGAACACATGTATCCACTGTTAGATATTAAAAATAAAAATTTAAAAAGAAAAAAAAAAAAGCCACAAAGGAGGAGAAGTACACCTTGCACTCCAATTAGTCTATTTTAGATAACTAAAAACACTCCTACAAGAGAGAGATGGGACACTTCATAGTTTTTGTACAGTAGATGAAAATGAAGRAAAGAAAAAAAAAGCATCTGGAGGTTTTGGGTTTCTTAAAAAAAATTTAAAAAAGAAAAATAAAAACATAGGTAGCTCTGGTCAGGGAAGAGGAAGGTTCTAGTAAGGGGACTCCTTATGCCAGAAGACCTCGGAGGCGGCAGCAGAGCGAGGAACGATGGCCAGAGGGCCACCTAAGGAGGAGGTGGCCGGGGAGCCCCCGGCAGGACCGGGCCGGGCCGCGTGGCGAGGCCGGGCCGCCCCCTGCTCGCGGCCGTGGAGCCGCGCGGAAGGCCGGGGCTCCACCGCGAGCAGGCGGGGAAGGGGGCGAGGCGCCGGGGCGAGGAGGGCCCGCGGGCCCGGCCGGTACCTTTGAGGACGGGCTCCATTCGCGGCGCCGAGCGCCTCCGCTCCGCCGCCCGCCACCGTTCAAAGCCGCCCCCACGCGCCGCCGCCCAACAACGGCCCCAACGGCCAGTTACGTTACCCAAGGACCGCTGAACTTCTCACTGTGGGAAATAAACCCGTACTAAAAGCGTTTCGGGGGGTTTTAGTGATGGAAGGCTGGAGCGTAGCAAAACCCAGAGGGAACTAGAAGCTAAAAAACGTGGTGTCTACCCAGGAAAAAATTGAATAAAATAATTAAATCAGGCAGCCCAAGTAAATTTACATTGAGAGAGAACCAACACAGCTTTTCAAAGGGAAGTTGTGCTTTGCAGCTCTGTTACGCAGCTTAGAAGCACAGCACATGAGCAAGATCATGTCCCAAAGTGTAAGTTGGTGCTGCTCCAAAATCTTAAGTATGCTCTTGTTTCTTCATCTGTGAATGGGAAGGAAAACAGAGAAGCAAAATGAAGATAACACATAGTTTCCTTGTGAGAAGTCATTTTTTTTACTCAAGGACTTTTCACTTTGGGAAAGAAATGGCGGGAGAAAGATGACCTAGAGTTCTGCCAAAGCACAAGCCTTATGGAGGAAGCCAATGTAGAACACACTGTGTGCCTTGTGATGAGCAGGCCATCGAATGAAACCAGCAGATAGTGTCTTCAAAAAGATTTTTCACATTGTGCCTAGTTGAACTGTGGAAGGGTGTTCTGGGTGCTGACAGACTAAAGAGGTTCTGGAAGCAAATTTAGCACACTCATGAAGTCCGGTTTAGGACTATTAAAAATACACATACCAGTTCTAACTCAGTAAATCCCAGAGCTGCAAAGTCTTTTTCTAGGCATCTATATCTGCTGTTGGAGAGACAAAACGATCTTTGATCTAGTCCTACTCTCACGTTCATGGAAAGGCTCAAATCTCAAATTTTTCCCCCTCGGAGTCTACTTTGCAGATGCCTGTGCTGATACTAACAAAGATATGTAAATCTATATGCATGATATTTTAGCATGGATAAAATCTGTTTGATTCCTAGGACATAAATATGACCCTACCTCTCTGACTTGGAGCAAATGTAGCTCCATCTTCTAAATCTGTGTCAGACTTTCACAGGTGTATTCACTATGTGAACAAAATGACTAATGAATATATGTGTGTGTGTATATATATATATATATATAATGTTTCTGTCAGCAGGTTACACAGATACATGCTAGGTCATAATGAACTATTATTTCTAAGGAGGTTCTCAACCTTGGTTCAAGGAAAGGGGAGTCTAATCTTAATGCAGTGGCTATAAACACCGTTGGTCTGAAGCCAGTTCTAGAAAAGGAGGTAGTAGAAATTTAAATATACCCGTCTCTTCTTGGTACCATCAGAGATAAGCTTTTGTGCTTGAGTTCTGAAGTGCACAGAGATAAGAAGATGAAGCAGTTGAAGAGGTAGCATTTAATGTCTCAGAAGCTCTGGTCCCACTGAAATTAGTAAGAGCCTTATCATTGAATTAGCATTTCCTTAGATTCAGGACCATTCCTATATTAGAGTATCTTTATGGATAGAATAAGTAAATAGCTGTGAGGCTTTCAGTGGGGTTTGAAGATGCATGTAATGAAACCATAGGTTCAGAAAATTAGTAAGCAGATGAAATTCTGCTGTGCATGTGCAAATAGCATTAGTTCATAAATTGGCCACATCTCTGTGGGTTTGCATGGAGATCGGAAACTGCAAAAATTTTTGATGATTCGTAATTGCCTTAAGCTGATTTATGAAAGGGTGATCCTATCTTCACTACCTGCAAAAATTACATGTTTTTGTGAACAGTTTTCAGATGAGTCAGCAGGTTTTGTAGKTGTTCAAAAGAGATTTTAAAGGGAAATAAGCTGAAAAGTACTGTCAAAGCTGCATGCTCTGATTCTCCATGGCTAGACACAGGGAAGAGTAGTGGCTAGAGCATTAAACGCTGCTCACTGTCAGAGCAGACAAGGAGCAACACTGCACTAGAGGCACCAACATTTGTTTTTAAATATGTTCAATACCAAAAGTATCCCATGAATTTACAGAATTTCTGTTAAACTGGTAAAGTTTTGATCTCACTGTTTACAACCAGCTTCCTTCTCCGATGGTGACAAAACTTCAGATTTCCATAGATGGTTAATACATATCTGTTCCACTGCCAATGTTGTGTTTCAGTTTAAATAGTTCTTTTTCCTCCTGCCCAGTACTGACAATAAAGCAGTAATATCTTTTTGCAGCTGTTACTTTGCCAATTCGGACACATCAAGCTGTTTTAGCTTTTGTGATGTAGTGAACTGCTGAAAATGACAACAAATGGAGTGGAAGCCAACATAATGTAAGTGCCTTCCTGCTAGGCTTGTTACGACTTTGGATTTCATGGTATCTAAACTCACTATTTTCCTACTAGTTTCCATAAACTGTAAGATTAACATGGTTCTCTACAGACTCATATGGCATATAGTTTAAAGATTGCTGTGCTGTGAAGAAATGATTTTGCAAGTTGTTATGTGTAAAAAAGAAGGGCTAGTGGAAGGTGCATTTCACTTGTCCTCTGGATCAAAAAAGAAATAAAAACGCCAGCATCCCAAGAAATCCTTTAAATAGCAAATGTAACTTAGTCCTAACAATTTCTAAAGATTTATTAACCATTGAAACAAACTTGAAAAACTTTTAAAAAGCTATAATGCAATAGTTTTCCTAAATTTGATAAAATGTATAAACATTTATATTCCCAGTAATTTGTTGGATAATTCAAAAGATTCTGTTCCCAAATAGGAAGCAAACTTCAGGTGGAGCTTTGTAATGCTGTAACACAGAGACAAGTTTCATTTCTTTGAAACACAGTTTAGATGATGGGATATATATGAATTACTTCCTAAGTTTACATCAAACTATGTAAAAAGTATCTAGAACAATTAAGAGGGAATGTTATTATTGAGAATAATCTAACATCATGTATTATCAGCAGGTTTTGTTGGTTAGTTTTGGTTGACTTATTTCTGACTTGAGCAAACAACAGCTTTAACTTTATTTTTATTATTATTATTATTGTTATTATTATTATTATTATTATTATTATTATTATTATTATTATTATTATTATTATTTTCCTAATTTCCTAGTGTGAGCTCTGAATCCCAGATAAGCTGAAAAAGTGGGTGCACACTACACCTCCTGAAGTCACAAATCCCAGCTGGTCAATCTGTGTACCTCCAGCTTGACAGCCGGTACAGCAGAACACACTCGGCGAGGTGTGTGGGTTCTCCTTGCCCATGAGAGACACAGAGACATGAGGAAATCCTTGGTGCACCTTGCCTGCATGAAGGCAGCAGCAGCAGAAAGCCTCCTCATARCTCTGATGGTCACTTCAGCCATCATAATCTCTTCTAAGAAAGCAGCCTCTTCTTTTTCCCCGTAGCCCTAATAGCTCTTGCTTCTACCTGTTCCACTTTGAATGTGACTTTCCTAAGTAGCGCACAAAACTTTACCCAGTATTCCAGCTGCCATGCACCTCATACTGGATGTCTACATACACTTTGCACTGTCCATCCTAGGATCACAGGAAGCTTTTTAAGGAACATGTAGCTATTCTGTCATTGACTAATATTTCCAGCCAATGAGCTTCCAAATTGTAGTTCCCTGCTTATTAGTATCCAATTTCATCCCCATCCCAATCTGTGAGGTCATCCATTTTTTTTTTTCTGTATTCTCATCTGCCTTTATTTTAATAAAGCCTTGTTTCAGGCCATCTGCAGGTTTCATTAGCACATACTTTCTTTGTTTCCAAGGTCACAAWGAAATAGTAACTCGCTGGATCTTAACTGTTATCTAAAACTTAACTGATGCTAAGATTGGATGCCTGTTGAGGATCTCCATTACAAACCTCTTTAGTTCTCAATCTGCAATCCATCTCATTGCTATCTACCTTCCCACTTAAGAATGATAGAGCAAAGCTCCTCCTTCTCCCTTTTTTCTYCTTCCTCTTCTCYTTCCTCTTCTTTCTTCTGCTTCTCTAATATTTGAACCACATATCAAATGTTTTATTGAAGTAACATAGATTTGTTACGTTTGTCTAAAAGAAAATATTTTCTTATCAAAGAGAGGTGCTATGTTAAAGTGATAGCAGGAGTCCTAATTAGTGCAGTTGACAATTTTTGTCCCTTCTCTGTGCCGTGCCTTGCTCTTGAAACCCTTTTTCTTTCTTCTGCCCTGATTGATAAAAAAAAAAAGTCAGCGGAATCATCTGTGAGCAGTTCGCAAAATGAAGATGTCTTTGAGCCCAGGAATGGCCATTTCCAGGTGGTGAGAACTGAATTTTGATGATGGACAAGGAAACCATCCCAAAGCAGTGCTAATATAGCTCAAAATAGGACTAGATTAATGAAAGGATACCCCGATAATGCCATTTTTCATACCAAAGAGCCATCTCACATACATCTTGGCAGGAGTAGTTGCATTGTTGTAAATAAGATAYAGACGTCATGGATCAATAGTGTCAGGCGCATCCGAGTCTCTGCCTCTCCACAGAATTCCTCCTGAGACTGCCAGCAATAGCTTATTTGTTTTCCTSTTCCCCTCATTTGAGTGGTGCTTGAAAAAGCTTGTTTTAGAGTTGCTCTTCTGTCTCCATAACAATGAAAGCTTTTCCATTTTAGAGTCATTCAGTCTAAGCAGACAAGGGGAATTCCTTATCTCTTTGTTTTCCCTATCTTTCAGTATATATTATGTTAAAACAAAAAGTATACATTTTCTTAACATTGCAAGAGGATTTTTGTGAGCCATATTGAAAAAGAGTGTTGCRTAAGCTTGTCAGATAGATGTGTATTTATCATTGTCAAAACCCTTTACTGATAGCCTCACTCCTTATTTGTGCTTGACAATATATGGAAAAATTATGAGGGACATTTATTTCTTGTCACAAAGAAAATTTAATATTATGGATCATGTAATCTTACAAAATTGTTAAATATTTCCATCAATGAGATGGCTGTGTTCATTTCC